CCTAAACCCCTAAACCTAAGCCCTAAACACCATAAATCCTAAACCCTCAACCCTACACCACTAAACCCCTAAACCCTAAACACCATACATCCTACACCCCCAGAGTCTTAGGTTCATCATGCCCAGCAAGTACTGGGGGGAGTCCCTCTCCGAAGCGCCTCTGCCGGCCGAAGATGCCGGCGTTTCTCTCCAGGCCCACCTCGACACTGCAGGAAACGAGGGGGCCTGAATATTTTTGATATAGGGTTTTGGGGTATAGTATAAATAGATAAATAAATAAATAGATAAATAAATATAAATATAAATCTAAATATAAATAAATATATATATATATAATATGGAGCCCTAAGCAATAATATAGGTAGTTTCGGTGTTCCTCACTATAAGTATAGCATAACATACCCCGATTCGCTATTCTGATTTTTGAGGCCCCTACATTATGCTTTATAATCGGCTTCAGGTAGTATGGTATAATGATAGCTTCATGCAGTAGCTGGATGTAGTACAGTCGTTGATAGAGTTCAATATAGCATAGTATGGCTTTAGTATAGCATGCAATGTTATTGTTCGATATAACAAATCTTTACCATGCAATAGAATGTACGGGCCCTGCGTCTAAACACTGACGCCTCAAGTTCTCAAGCCCTAAAGGCCTAAAGCCCTAACCCTAAACCCTACAGCCCCAAATCCCGAACTCAGCTTCTGGAAGGCGTGCACGCCGCTAAAGGCCAAGCTAACATTGCTAGGTACAGCCATGACAGTGAGGCTTCCCAAGCCCTAGTCCCGTCCGCCAAATCTATGAACGGTAAATCCTTAACTCTAATTCCTTCTCCACCCAACCTGCAAACCCTAAATTCAGAGACCCTGACAACCTCTCAGCAAAAATACAGGCAAGGCCCGGGGAGCGTGTCGCCGTGAGCATCTTCGGTGGCTATGCCGTCGGTTCCCTGGTAGCGCGGAAGTGGCTCGGGCAGCAAACGGCTCTAATATAGGGGCCTTAACAATTAGAATAGGGTTTTGGGTATTTCATACTATTAATTATAGTAAGGAACCCCCAAAACCCTATTCGTGGTTGATAAGGCTACAGGGGTTCTATAACTAAGGGTTCTGCAAGGGTTCCGTAGTTCTTTCAGGTCGTCGGCGTAGGGAGCAGGGTTTGGGGTTCCCAAACACCAAAACCCCTGAACCTGAATCTCAATCCCTAAGCCGTTAACTTACCCTAAACCCTAAACCCTAAACCCTAAACCCTAAACCCTAAACCCTAAACCCTAAACCCTAAACCCTAAACCCTAAATAGAACCTTGAGCCCCAAGGCCGAAACCCTATATCAGTGCATCTTGAAGAACTGGACAGTGGGTTGCGAGCAGCTCCCTCCCAAGAGTTCGTGTTGTTCTTATCAAATCTCAGGGTTCATGGTGTAAAGGTTGAGGGATTTAGGGTCTCGGGTTGAGGTTTCAGGGTTTAAGGATTCAGGCTTCAGGGTTTGGGGTCTAGGCTAGGGCTTATTATTTTGTTCAGGGTGCAGGGTCTAGGGTTTGAGTTTAGGGTCCCCCAAACCAGACGAGTTCAAAGTGTAGTTATTCGCAGACTCGACGCCCCAGAAAGCACAGACCCTAAACCCTCAACCCTAAACCCTAAACCCTAAACTTGAAACCCTAGACCCTAAAGCCTAAACCCTAAACTTTAAACCCTAGACCCTAAACCCTAAACTGGAAACCATAAACCCTAAACCCTTAAAACACCCTAATGCCTCTTCTCCAGGACCGAGGAGCTCTTGGCCTCCGTGGCGGAAAGTGAGGACGGTTTCGGGCTGAGAGTTTAATATAGGGGCCTGAACAATTACCTTATCCTATTTGGGAGTTTCAGAAAATTAGGGTACCTTATTTTGGGGTCCTTATAATAGGGATCCTATTAATTAGGGTACTATATTAGGGTCCCCTATTTTCGGAAACCCCCATTTTGGGGGTTCCTTATTTTAACTATAGTATAAGCGGCTTTAAGGTTTGGACTTTGCAGTGTGCGGCCTAGCGTTCAGGGAGTTTTGTTGTTGAGCGGTTAGTTCTTGCCTTTATGGGAAAGCGTACACCGTGAACCGTGAGGTTCTAGCTATCACTAATGTTGCTTCGGTCATTGTGCTTGCCATCAGTGGCGGCTTCATTGTCCGGCTGTTGCCGCGAGCCTACTTCTTGATACTGCTACCACTGTTGTCATCTGAGGAAGAACGTCATCACTTTGACTGTTGTCTTGCGACGTTCTTGGCACTACGGTTGAGGATATAAATCCTGCGTTACTCCTAATAAGGAATATTCCATAATTCCGATAGTTTAGGGTCCTTAAGGTAATGCAGGGTTTATATCATCAACAGTAGTACCGCCGTTTTCATGCCACAGAGGCTGGCACGACATTCACAGTCTCATCAGTCTGCAACTTCTCAGTACTTGGAGGATCATGGGACTTAGTAAGTAAGACTGTAAGTACCCTAATTGGGGTTATAAGTCATTTATAAGTCTAGGTACCTTATTTATAACACGAGTTACTAGGTCCCATGATCCTCTAAGTACTGGCCACGGCCACAGCAAGTCAGTACTTTTCCATCCAGGAGAGCTTGGGGACATGTGGAAAGTAGGTCACTGATTGGGTTTAGAGTTTAGGGTGTAGGGTTTAGGGTTTAGGGTATAAGGTTTAGGGTTTAAGGGTTTAGGGGCTTAGGGGTTTAGGGGTTTAGGGTTTAGGGTTTAGGGTTTAGGGTTTAGGGGACTTTAATTACGGAATTTACCTCAAATCATAATATTAAGA